TCTTTTGCACACACTCTCTTTACACCCTTCTTGCATCCGCCTGTCCTCTCACATACACGATACCATGGCAGCTGCACCACCCGCCTCTGAGCTTAAACTCGACCCCAAGTATGACGATTACGATTATCCCACTGTTTCTCCCACCGCTCAGAGTGGACATCCCGGTCATACCACGCCAGAGCAAGATGCAGCTCTGGTTGAGCTCAGGACTGCCTTAGAGCAGGCTGGCCACACCAAGAACCTCGATACTTTGACTCTGGTGCGCCTCTGAGTATCTGTGAGAGCCGGTTGACCCCTATGCTAAACATTTCATAGCTGCGATTCCTCCGCGCACGAAAGTTTAATGTCGAACTCTCGAAAAAGATGTGAGTGTACATGGTTACTGCATACAGGGAAAAGAAAAAGGGTACGGAACAGGCCTGCTAACAGGTTTTAGGTTCATTGACTGCGAGCAGTGGAGGAGCGAGTACGCTGGTGTGGGTGTCGAGGAGCTTGTCCGCACTTTTGACTACACCGAACGGCCCCAGGTTTTCGAGTTCTACCCCCAGTACTACCACAAGACCGACAAGGTACGTCTGCAACCCGCTACAAATAAACATGGACTTTTCCAAGCCATGTGCTAACAACTAGACCGCTAACTTCTTTATAGGACGGCCGCCCAGTGTACATTGAGCAGCTCGGCAAGGTCGACCTTCCCGCACTCAACAAGATTACGACTGAAGAGCGTATGATCCAGAACCTCGTGTGCGAATACGAAAAGATGGCCGATCCGCGTCTGCCCGCTTGCTCGCGCAAGTCTGGTTACCTACTCGAGACATCATGCACAATCATGGACCTGAAGGGCGTTGGCATCAGCAAGGCAACGTCTGTATATGGCTACCTGGGCAAAGTCTCCACCATCAGCCAGAACTACTACCCCGAGCGCCTGGGAAAGATGTACATTATCAACGCGCCCTGGGGATTCTCGGGTGTGTTCAGCGTGGTCAAGAAGTTCCTCGACCCCGTCACAAGCAGCAAGATTCACGTATTGGGTGGCGGATACCAAAAGGAGTTGCTGGCTCAGGTGCCTGCGGAGAACCTGCCCAAGGAGTTTGGTGGAACTTGCCAGTGTGAGAAGGGCTGCTCATTGAGCGATGCGGGTCCTTGGTGGGACCCCCAATGGGCAAAGGAGCCCAAGTGGGCAAAGAAGAATGACGGCGATGCGATTAACAACACTGCTCTTCCTCCCCAGACGACTGAGGGTACCCCTGGTGCTGCTCCTGCTGCACCTGCCGGTACTGAACCCGCCGGTGCGCCTGCGCCGGCCGCTGCTTAGATTGGTTTGCATGGCGGTCAATAAAGGAGCTGAAGGCTTTAGAGTATGTTAGTCGTTTGGTGTAAGTAGCAGTAGCAGTAGTAGTCGTAGTCGTAGTAGCATGGCGTATTTAAGTTGTGGGGCATACAAGTATAGAGTCAAGAAGCTCCAATCAAGGTTTAGAGCACGAAAGCGCATCCTTTGAATCCTATGGTCATTGGTGAAGACTCGATTCAAGTGGGTAGGTAACGCATTCTACTGCCCACTGCCATGCCAACTTTACATGCTCCTGCTTGATTGACTCATATGTACTTGCCCTGAGGATCCAGCCTATCCATCAAGTCCATGGACTTTTCATACATAGTAAAGACGATACCACCACTAAGAATCAACCTCCCCAGCCTAGGCAGCGCGCCCGACCAAAACGTAAGCAACCCCTCGTCCCTAAAGATCTTGACCGCACAATCAAAACTATTTTTATACGAGCTCCTTGCCTCTATCGACTGCATCCTCGTCTTGACCGTATCAATCGGCATAGTCGTGTAAACCGTCACGATGCCCGCCAGTCCTCCAAGTCCAAACGTGCTAACCGCACCAAGCTTCTCTCCAGGGGCAACGTATGACTGCGCCAGTTGCTTGAACGACGTGTAGCTTGAGAAGCGCACGGCAGAGTTTGCGGCTTGACGCGCGGTTGTAGGCAGGAAACCTTGGAAGAAGCCTCGAATGCCTTTTTCTTGGGCGATGACTTTGGAGCCGTGGAGGAAGCCGCGCATGCGTGGGTTTGCGGATTTGCGGTCGTCGATGCTACAGAGAGAGAGAGAGAGAGTACTGGTCAGCTTGGGAAGAGTGTATGCCGGGGGAAGGGGGATGTGGGTAAACATGGATGATGTACTTACAGTTGTGTCTTTATACTTTCAAAGGGCGTAACTGCCAATAGTGATTCTGTGGCTCCAGCACCGAAACCCGCAATGACGGTTGCGGGACCAGAGACTTTGCCTTCGGCGTCGGCGAGGAGGTTCTTGTACATGTCGAATGCGACGAAGCCTGCATAACTTTTGTGTCAGTCGCAGCCAGAACAGAAAAAGTGAGCCATAAGAGGTGTATGTCTATGTGTGGAAAACGTACGTATGCCGGCCTTGAGCGAATTGCCAATAATCAGTGTTGTGCATCCTGCGTACCATTGCTTTCCAAATGGCGGCCATGGCAGCTTCTTCCCGTCTGGTAATCGTCGGTTGAGCTGCGATCGTGTCTTTGCGACTATGTTTCGGTCAGCGCGGTGTGGATATGGTGAGTTATATAGAGCGTACACTCTGCGGGATATGTAATTGCTGCAGTAAAGGGTCAGTATACTATTTTTTTTTTCTGTCCGTTGATCGGAATGGTGGATGTTTACAAATTTCAACGGCGCCGGCTGTTGCGCCTGCCAGGATGGAGCGCATAGCACTTGGCTTCTTCTTCTTCTCGGATTGCGCAGTCGCCATGATGGCTGCGACTGGGCTCTACAAGAGCACGTAGGGTTATGTGCTACGGTGAAGTCGAACTTTTTGCGCTTGCAGACCGCGGGCGTCCTGTGGTTAGTGACTCGAAATGGTGACGTGACGTAGTGTTGATATTGTGGCTGAACTCGCAACAAATGCTATACGTGTATTTGGGTTCAATTGAAGTTTGCGAAGAAGATAAGAATGTCTCTTTTGTGTGCCCAAACGCCCGCGACCCAGAGTACGTGTTGCAGTCGAACTTGTTTGCATTATTATCCACGCCCGGAGGTAAGCAATCAGCGCCGCAATTCGGCGCCAAGCCCATCCCACCTCACATCGACCTTGTGGTCCCCGCAAGCTCGGGCCCTCGAAAAGTTACGTCTCCCGCCGCCTACGCATTTGTTGCTCTTCTTTCTTCACGAACCAATTGCTGCCATCGTGTTTTTGCAAATCCAACCACAAACCCTACAAATACAATGCTTTCTCTACGAAACCTTGCCCGCAGCGTCCCGCGGTCTGCCGCTCGCTTTTCCACAAAAGCAGTGCGCCCACAAACCGCTCTGCGCCAGACGGCTGCTTTCCAGCCAGCATGGACTGTCGCTGTGCCCAGGCTCACAGCCTCTTTCTCCATGTCTGCAGCAAGGAGGGATGATAGTGGTAGTATGTACTGCGCATAATTAAAACAGACTATGTTGGCTAATGCGAACAACAGTCAATGAAGAGTTGGTTGCGAAGCTCCATAGCGAAATCGCCATGGAGGAGAGTATGAAGGAGGACGAGGATCTCTCAGCAAACATCAAGGAATACCTTGAGAACAGCCCCTTTGAGGTTAGGAGTTCAAAATATTTGATCATGCACAGCCAAATACTCACATTAACATAGATTGAGGACCAGGATGGCAACCAGGAAGTCGTCCTGACCCGCACGTACAATGACGAAAAGATCCGCATCACTTTTACCACTGCTGATCTCAACACCAACCAGCCCGGCGATGAGTTTTCCGAGGACAGCGCCTTGTTCGACGATGCCGATATGGATGTGCAGTCTGGAGGCGCAAATACCAAGGGTGCCATTAACCAGGGCAAGACTCCAGATGGAAACATCCGTGTAGCGCCCGAGGACCGCGTTGCCCCTGCCGACCGTGAGGAGCTCGAGGACGACTACGAGAACGATGCCGAACAGCAGGGCTTCCCTGCCCATGCCAGCATCCGCATTGAGCGTCCCGGCAAGGGCGCTTTGGCCATCGAGGCTACTGCTCAGGATGGCGACTTCCTGATCGAGGATCTCTACTACTTCCCATCAGCTGATTTGGCTGACCCTGCCACCGCTGAGAAGGACTGGGCAAGGCGCGCGCTCTACACTGTATGTGGCTGCGACTGAATGTTTTGATGTGCCTTAGATCTAACTTGCAACAGGGCCCTCCTTTCAACAACCTCGATGAGGATCTCCAGATTCTGCTTGAGAAGTACCTTGAAGAGCGTGGCATCAACACTCGTCTTGCGCTCTTTATCCCCGACTATATTGACCACAAAGAGCAGAAGGAATACGTCAGGTGGCTGAACAGTAGGTCACCCTATATAAATAATAACAGGAATTTTGGCACTAACATAATTATCAGATATCAAGAACTTTGTCGCATAAGTTCACACCGGACTATTCCACAGCCATGTTAAAAGTACATTGGCACGACGAAACGACGCTTCGATGAGGGTAGACTGATTCCCTCTTGTATAATCTAGTAACACATAGTGCGGTGTTTTTTGTAAGATAGTTAGTAAGATATCTCTTCTTTATGCCGCTCGACGTCGCAGTTAAAGATGCCTTGTGTTGGCCAAAATGAAACAAATAAAAGAGTTTGAAAGTTACTGCTGTTGTAATGTGAGATGATGTTTGCAGAGACAAAGGCCGGCCTGCGGCGCGGTGCTTGCTACTATATCAGTGCGTTGCGACAAAGACCATGCGTGACAGCCTCAAGGACTGACAAGACTATCCTTTTGTCAATGAATCCTCATGCAACAATAATCATTAACAATCAAGACAACAGAAGATTTTGGAGCGAGAGCACATCTATTCTCACAAAGACTGAGGTCCTGGAAGTTTTCTATTAGGACCGTATTTTTGAATATTTTGACTTGATGAAAAATTGGGAATCAGATCGATCCTGGGAAAAAGTAGAGAAGAGCTGGACATCAAGTTTGGGGTAGAGGAAGAAACAACACACACACACTATGGTACCACGCAACGTCCGATCGGAGGCAGACCAAGTTTCTCCACGTAATTCTTCATCACTATATAATTGGAGAGACGTACAGACTGCACTCTCAAGTCACGTCATACATACCAGCTGGCCAGGCACTCCGACCAGCCGCTCAGCACGCCAAAGCACCCCCAAGACCAGCAACACAACCCCCTACATAACCAAAGAAAACGCGCAAGAATTCACGCCTACGAGCACCATCCTCGTAGGCCCCAAACACACACCTTTCCACCTACACACCCACCTCCTAACCCAGCACTCGTCCTACTTCCGCGCCGCCCTCCGCGGCCCCTTCATCGAATCAACCACAAACACCATGACCCTCTCCGACATCTCCCCCTCCGACTTCTCGCTCCTGGTAACCCACCTCTACACGGCCCGCATGCCGCGCCCCTTCAAAGACGGAAAACCCGCCTACTATGCCCTCCTGCACGCCTACGCCCTGGCCGACCGCCTCAACCTCGAAGCCGCACGCAACGCCGCCATCGACGCCATCAGCGACCTGGCCGACTCCACAAACAGCGTGCCGACGCCCGAGGACACGTGGTTCGTGTACGATGAGATGCGCGAGAGTGCGCTCGTGAGGAAGTTGGTGGTTGATCTTTTTGTGTTTAAGAAGACGGATCGGCTGGTTGAGGGGCATCCGGACGAGTGGCATCCGCGGTTTTTGCGAGATCTTGTGGTGGGGTTGAAGAGGCCGGGGGAGCAGGCAGTGAGGAAGCATGCGTTGAGGGTTTGGTGTCCGGTGGAGTGGAGGGAGGCGAGGGCGTGTGAGGCGTGTAGAGGGGTGGTGGTGCCGGGGCAAGGGGCGGTGAGGTGTGAGGGGTGTGGAGGGGTGTTTTGTAATGTTTGTGTTGGGGAGGGGACAGCGGTGGCGGGGTGGGAGGAGGGGAGGAGGAGGTGTGGGGACGGGGAAGTGCAGGGGAGTCCGGGGAAGAGGGCAAGGAAGGAGGGGAAGTGGGAGGCGTGTAAGCCGTGGAGGGGGGCGAGGTGTTTGCTTTATCATGAACATGACGAGACGGAAAAGTGTGTTGATGTTTTGGGGTAGTGATAATGTACAGGGTATTTGTGTTGTAATGGTCGGAATGATACTATCAGGATGTCTCCTGAACATCCATCGTCCTGCGATATGCTCACAACCACCACATGCCTCTTTCCCTACATGGACAGAGGCATGAAGCTTATTGATCGTCATTTGGGAATATGAACCAGTAGCTTGAACCTTAGTGCTCTTTAATAGCCGCATGTTTAATGGTCCACCTTGTAGCTGCCAGTCTGCAAATCCAACAGTGTAATCCTCAAGTGAGCTAACTTGCAGCTGCCACACTATTCCGTCAATCATTTCTTGCCCTTCTTCGCTACCTTCTTAACCTTCTGTGCAACCCCTCGAGTCGAAACTCTTGACTTTTTCTCTTTCAGAGGAGACTCTTGCAGTTTGCTCGTCTTTATAGTCTTCTTTTGACTCAGATTCTAAACCTTTCTCAGCAGTGCCACAAAAGGTTATGCTATTAGCATGAATACTTACCGGAAGGCCTACGTCCCACTCAGATAGATCCGACGGGCAGTCTGAGAGACCCGAAGACGAGGGCGAAGGAGTCTGAACCTTTGACTTGACGTCTTTTGGAGGCGTTATGGGATTGCGGTGCTTGTTCCCGACTCTAGCTGTAGCGGGTTTCTTAACCGCGGGACTAGCAGGTGGTGTGATAGTGTCTTGCAAGGCCCCGTCTTTCTCTCCGATGAAATTCTTTTTATCGGCATGACCACGAGACGATTCATCGCAGCGTGCTGTTGCTATGATTCCTTCGTTTTCAACGTCTGGTGCCAATGCAAGAGTCTCTATGCTGGCGCCAGCGCCACATTGCAGCACCTCGTCTCCTTCATCATCGCTCAAAAACATAGGAGGTAGTGGTGTTGGAGCTCGCGCATCCGGGTCATAGCAGTCAAAAGTGCGATATACTGCCTGCCGTCAGTATCTCGTTACCCATACCCTGTTCTTTTGCTCTTACCTCCCATGTCGTCGGTGAAGCCTTCGGAATCCCACGTGTATGTTCCATCGTAAAACTTTCGCGAGCGCTCAGTGATGCTGTCGGCACTTGGGAGCATCCCAGGCCTTGTAGTAGAGCTGGCTGAGACGTTCTTGATCATATCTTAGAAGCAGCAGCAATGTATTTGGTTCCTGGGTTTTCACAGTTGGAAGAGTGAAATTGGTAGTATTTGAGAGGGCTTTGTAAGTGGGACAAGAACACAGTAGCTAGAGGTGAGAGTGAGAGTGATTCTATTGATAGTGACGCACTAGCGGCTTAAGGGTGAGAGAGACTACAAACGAGCTCTCAAAACGGAAGTCACCTACCTATCGAACCTTCCCTACCGACTTATAGTACTAGCAGCCTATACCTAGGTGGCATACTTCTGCCTAAAGACTGTCCTGACTTATGGCTCCCCTAGCCTTTGGGCGGCATGAGGGGAAGTGCAGTACCCTCCGTAGTCTGCGGTAGCAACGCGTTACTTGAAGTCACTTGCCCAACGTAATTCCACACGAATTTTCTGTAACGCAGCTGATTCCAAACTAATATTGGAAGAGAGAGGAGCATTATAGAAGCTGGTGAATTCCAAACGCCTTCCACATTGATAGCCGCCCCCCTGAGCGCATGAGGCAATGTGCGAAGCCAATCCTTCAATTCTTCAACATCGCTCTCGCTAAGATTCTTGTCAACGTATGTAGTGACAAGGACCCGTAGGTCATCTGGTCTGGGCTCCGAAGTTGGATTCCCACCTTCAGATATCGGGGGTCCAAAAATCATTAGATCCTTTCTGTAATGCTTCCTGTAAAATGGAACATGCTTTAGCTGCAATTCCACCCGATCCTGCTACATCCTCTCATAAAAATCTGCAATTGTGAAAGGGGATGCAGAAAGCTTCCTTAGTGTTGTGATGAGAGCGTTCAAGAAGGATGTGTCGGTTTCCTTGTTATCAGCGGATTCCATCGTAGCCACCAATGTTTCTATTCCTGATTCACTAGTCCCACGACAGTAACAACAGTCTAGGATTTGAATGACATCACATGAAACGTGAGAGAGGATGTTAGTTGTGATATGCCAGTCTAGTGCTCGAGTACCAAGCGCCTTCGAATCCTTGTCGTTCACGTTTTCAGTCTCGTTGAATGAGCTATTGTGAAATTTTAGCAGTCCGCATGGAAGAAAGAGTGGTGGACTTTCCATTACCTAATCATGAGTGTATACTCATATATCTGACCATTTCTGATATCAATCTGTCGCCTGCCATGGCCAGAAATCACGACCATGTCGAGACAGTTCTCGGCGCACTCGTTTTCCAGGTGCAGCTCGAAGAATGTGCGTATAATCTCAAAATGGGGGCTTATATTTCTTGTCTGCATCTAACAAGACTCGCACAACCTTCTCGGTAGCGAGTACATCGCGAACAGTAATTGCCAATTCATCTTCCACGGGGCCGCAATCGATGTCATCGTCCTGGAATAGAAAGGGGCAGGGCCGGACAACTTGAGAAGGAAAAAAACGTATGTATGCACGCGAACATGAAATGGTAACCTGAGTACCTACTTGTACATTGACTAACACAATATGCTATTGTTGATTTCCTCGTGACTACCATGGACCGCTATACTGCTGCCTTATTCGCAACCGCACCTCACTACATCAACTTACCATACCTAATTAACGTACATCGCCTAACTCCGTGCATCATGTAGAAAGAATAACACGCACCACACATCCTAAACTACTTCAACCTCACAGTTCAGCCTATGAGACACCTACGCAACATCGGCAAATTTGACACTTGTGCAATTTGTAGGTCGGGCATAGTACTCCGGTCGCTCAGGCATGGGCTTTTTGTTTTGTGAGTCATTGTTTTGCAGTGGCATTGGACAATGGTACAAAGCTGCTTTATGTATGAATTACGTCATGGCGCCCAAGAATGGGAGAGGTGAGGAAAGAGCTCTTGGAGCGGGAAAAAAAAACAAGCAAACTCCACTCATCATTTTAAAGTAGGGTCGAACACAACTACCAGTCATTCTGTCTTACTAGTAGTGCGACTATTAGTCTTGCGCGTCTGTTGGAGCGTGCGGACTGTCGACTGCCCTGATTTCTTCATAAAGACCAAAAAGAAACACTCAATGACGGAACATATGTTACAACAGCAAGAAGAAAACATACACGTATTGAAAAGTGATGAATTTCTAGAATCTTTAATGGCACAGCAGTGAAAGCAATAAAACGCCTTACCGAATATATCTACACATACAAAAAAAGCCTCCGGACCTGTCTTTTTTTCGCGAGCCAGATGGCCATGCCACAACCGCCCCCTCCCACTATTGGGTATCGTACAAGTTAACTAATCAGATACAGAAGAAGAGGAAAATAGGGAAAAACAGTAACTGATTGCAAGATCCCGTAGCCAAACGCCGATAAGACCACCTACAACACATTTAAGATGCATGTCACACAAGTTGATGTAGACCGGGGGGTCATTAATGCCGGAAACGTATTTTGGTTACGCCACACTAGTCTGGCCAGTCTGAGAGGGGGTAGCTAGAGGCTGTTTGGTTGCAATTGTCTGGGCAAGAGACTCGCGGGCGGCTTTTTCCTGTTCCATAGCAGCTCGGTCGGCCTTGGTAACGCGAGGTTTACGGACAGTGGAGCCACCGCGAGAGCCGGGACCTCCGCCACGGCCACGGCCACGACCTGATGCCTCTCCCCGTACTGTGCCACCGCGTCCACGGCCTCGTCCACGCCTGATGGTGCCATCAGCCCTATGAAATGTCAGCCTAAATCAACCCAATGCAATGCCAAATACATACCTCTCTACTGGTTGCTTCTCTTCAGTAACGAGCGGACCGCTGTATACAAAGAAGCCGTCCTTTGCCATGAGCGCTTGCTGTTCCCAGGCCAGCTCGGTATCGTCGATGAAGTCGTCCTCCTTATCGTAGTCTTCTTGCTTTCTCTTCCTTCGCTTCTTGCCTCCATTCTCCTTGGCTGATGTCTCATCATCCATACCACCCATCTCAACATTGCTTTCATTCTCAGACAAGTCGACAGACAGGTCGTCATTTGACCCCCCGCCTGCAGCTCTTTCAAGAGCGGCACCGGCAGCTGTGATTTGGCGTTGACGCTCTTTGCGGGCAGCAATGCGGGGATGAAGAGCAGCAAAACCATATTTCTTCTCAACCTCTTGGGCGACGTTGATGGTCACGTTGTCGCGTCCCTTTAGATCGAAGTGGAGGTAAATGTTAGTGCCCTGTGTCTCGGATGTGCCATTGGCGTTGGCCACTGGGCCAAATGGGGTTCCTGACAACAAGCCGCTGCCTGTTGGTAATGGTGGTGGGGCCTCTTTCTGACGCGCGGCTTTGGTGGGTGGCGTTGGAGCATTTGACTGTGAAGGCGTGCCGGAGTTTGCAGAGTTTGATTTTGTCATGGGCACAGATACTGGCTTGCTAGGCTCACTGTCGATTTCCATAGGAGTGGGTCCCGATGGTGCAGTCAGATGTATTTGAGCCTGAACTGGAAGTGGGGCCTGTTCTTGTTGTGGTTGCTGTTGTTGAGGTGGAGGCTGAGGTTGGTATTCCTGGGCAGGAAGGACCGACCCTGGTCGGGTAGAGAAGGCTGCAGGCGAAACAGGTGCCGAGGTGACTGAGGTCTGCTGGGGTAGCTTGACGGGGTGAGAATAGAAGGAATTGCTGGCAGATGGAGGGTCGATCAAACTAGTAATGGAGGGAGAAGCACTCGCACGGTGATTGAGTCGTGGGGAGACTGGTGGAGGGGCACTTGCTACAGGCTGGGGTTTGGATTCAAAGATGCCACCTCGAATTGGATCATAGCGCTGGCCTGAGCTTGATGGGCGTGGTGCTGGGGGAGTGGCACTGATGTGTGAGAGGTTTGGATTACTGTGAAGTGTGGGTTCGGCATTGCTCAGCACGCGAGGGGGTTGCGTGACAGCGGGTGGCTGTTCTGGTTGCAAGACAGGCGCGGGTTCACTAGGTCTACTCTGTGGCGTGGGCGACTGCTGAACAGGTGGTTTCTCTTCTACGATCGGTGCCGGAGCTGGTGCCGGAGCTGGAGGCGGCGGCGGTGGTGGTTGAGGCTGTGGCTGCGACTGGGCCTCGAGGGAGGCCTTTGTTCGTCTCTTGCGTTGGATGGGTGCAGCATTTGGGTCTTTGGGCTCGCTCTTGCGCGGCTTCCTAGTCTTCTTCTCTGGCTCAGGGGCACTCTGGTCTTTTGCCTTTGGCTTGGGCCCCGGCTTCTTGCGTGGCTGGCCGCTGGCGGTTAAGCCTCGCGCATGTGTCGCCGGCGACGCGTTTGCAGGGGTGGGGGTGCTAGTCCCAACACCAACACCACCTGCAGATGCGCGAACCGTCGAGGTCGGCGTGCCCTGCTCGGGCGAGTGTGGGGGCGAGCTTAGACTGCCGGGCGAGGACGCATCACCTACGTCCATTGCGCAGGACACGGCGAGAGTGCAGCGCACAGAAATAAACACAAAGAGAAGGACGCTGGCCGTGCCTGTCGCTGGCTACACAAATGCGGACAGGCGGCTATGCAGAGCAGAGGAGGGTTGAGCGAGGCGAGCTGGGAGCGCGGGCGGGTGTGCAGACTCAACACCAAAAATGGGCGAAAGACTGGGTAAATGCAAGAGCGGGCAAGAACACCAAAGTCGATGTTTAGCGGGATGGCGAGCCGGGGCCAGAGGCTAATTCGGGTAGATGGATGGACAGGAACACCAAGATGTGATTGCTAGGCAGAGATTGATGACGGCACCCTCAGCACCGGCGGGCGAGATGGAAACAGTGGTCGCAGCAGCAGCAGAAAACGGGGCTGGGGGGAGGCAGATGGAGAGAAGGAGAGAGAGAGAAAGATGGAGGAAGAGGCAATGGAAGAAGAGACAAAGGACAACAGACGTCGTCCATGAGCTCGAAGGGGGGCTCAAGGGCCTCAAGTAGCCATGAGGGCCATTTGGGACAGCAGCGGGCCAAAGCTTGGGTTACGACGAGCCCTAGAAGAGAAAAACAGTTTACGCCAGAGCAGTCGACGAACCCTGGCCTGGCCTACCTGCCTGCCTACTGCCTTGCCTACCCTACCCTACCCTACCCTACCTACCCTCTGCCCGCCGCTGGCTGCTATCAAACATGGCACCACCACCATCTGCCGCCCCGTGGACCCAAGGGCATGCACGCCCACACACATAGTAATACGTACATAATAATATCCCACCACGGCCCTGCCATTTGTAGACATTGGCTATCTGGGGCCCATCTATCGTCGTCCATGAGCAATATAACCAAGAGACGGCTTCCATCCCATGTCCTTCCACACACCCCCCCATGCCTTCCCCCCCACAGTCCCATCCCATCTCGGGATATCATCATGTGTGGGTGCATGCATGCCTGTGTGCCTGTGTGTTCCTCTGCCATGAATACCTGCGACGCCCGCTGAGGCGCATTAGCCGCGCATGCACTGCTGCACGCCAGAGCACGCTGCAGCATTGGCCCGCATGCTCCGGCCATGCTGTCCTTGTCGTCCTTGTCGTCGTTGCTGATATATCCATACGTATGCCTCTGTTGCCAGCCCACTACCTATACATGGTCGTTCCACACTGCCTGTGCGTTTCGGCGTGGCCTGCATGCCTGATCGCGCCCGTGCGTTCCGATCGTCTACAGGGGTCTCTGATTCGCCAGCGCTGCCCGTGGCGTTACACATCCAGGAACGCTTCTTGCATGCCCACACTCCTGTCATACATGCACATGCACACACCCACACATACACACTCCCGCGCCCAATTGCAAAACAACACTGCTTTTGTACCCTTGATAACTGCTCGAGGTATATGCCCACACCCATCCGCCCCTGGGTAATGTGCTGCGTAAACTCATTGGCCCCTCAAAAACAAATCACTCGAAAAACAAACTCCAAAAACACCCTCTTGCAAAACGCCATCACACAATGCCAGTATAGCTACAGGTCTTGCTCCCCATCCCACAATCACGCCTTGCTCTTCTTCTTCTTCTTCTTTTCGCCATCCTCCTCCTCGCCGTGTTTCCGCTTCTTGTCCTTCTTCGACTTCTTCTCCGAAACCTCCTCGTCGGCCTCCTTCTTGGCCTTCTTGTCCTTCTTGGCCTTCTTCTCCTTGCGCACTGCTTGCTCAGTGGCTGCTGCCGTTACGCCGTCGGCCATCTCCACATCCTCGGTTGCAGTTGCCGTTGGGTCCTCGATGACTCCAATGTCAGTCATGACAGAGTTCATGGCCGCCTGCATCACCGCTGCATTCTTCGTA